GAATTCTCTCTCACTGCTCTTGCCAGAACAATATATTAAGGACGGTGACAAATGACACCCATTATCATTCTGTCATTGAGACAAGATCCTACATGAACAGTCTATACAACGAAAGCCACCGTACCAAGGATAACACTTCTCAACTGGACAACAAAAACTCCAGTATCGAGACAGACTTAAAAAAAGGTAATTTAGATAACTGCAAAGGAAGGAATCCTACACATCATCAGTATCTTTACTGATAACCAGGAACTGCCAGTATGCTAACTCTTAATAAAAGAAGTTGAGATACAACATTACTTTCATCTTAACACAAATTATTTCTAAGCAACTTGCTCCCTGCAAGGTTAAAAAGACATGCAACAGTTTCTGCCCTCCATGCCTTTTCCAACCTGAGCTTACCACCTACATATGTTTCTACTCCAATACCATTACAACATACTATAATATTCTGTAGTTATTGACAGACTGCTGATGTAGGTAGCTGCAGGAAAAAGTAGAACTGAAGACAAAGCTTCTTTTCATGAGAAAGAGGTTCCAAAAAGATGAAACCACACATTAACAAAGAGAGTAGGTAGTCAGAATTTAAATACAATGCAAAAAGCTTAACATAATATAATAAGCTAACCTATACATTCAAATTCCGTAACTTCCCAATATGTTACGTAAAAACTAAGGCTGTGTACCTTGTGACACTATTGCTAATATGTACCTGTATATGACTGTATTGCAGTGACAGTTGCAGAATAACTTGCCCAGAAACGTTTACAAAATACAGAGAATAATGCATTAACTATGATACACATGATTTTTAAAGGAAAACGCACTAGCTTCCTAGTAGAAAGGGAAATAAATTTGATAGTTAAGGTCAGCAACAATCTAGAAAGCCTTATTTTGGCAGTCATTCCTAAGGCAAGGAAGATGAGATAGTGCTCTCCTTTTCAAGACTAATGAATCAACTAACAAATAATTTTGCAAAGCTAGCCACAAACCATATTGAAGTACCCCAAGACTGTCTCATAAGTAAGAATCAAGTAACAGCCATTGGTCCTGATTTGGGGCTTCAAGAAAAGGCAAGCCACCCAAAGCATCAATGAATCATAGTTGAGCAGTAACTTTTGACTTTTTACCTTATAACTCTACTCCATGAAGAAGCAAACCCCTAAAATAATAGAAAAGGCTTCCTGTAACACCTATAACTCACTTCATCAAAATTAAGTCAACAATCTCCCAAGAACAGATCATTCTGAATCTGACTTAAGGCTGAAGCTCTATTCAGGTGAGACCTCATAAGCAGTGGATCCAATCTGACAGCCCAGGCCACTCAAGGGGGTAGCTCTGTCCCTTCCCCCCTCTCCCCAACCCTTTCTTTGCTTTCACTGTGCCTTCTAATATCTGTCCCCAAGATGAGACAGTTCAACTCACCAAATCAAGAGAAAATCTGCCCAGAAAAACAGCAAGTGTTTTGATGCTGGTTTAGCAAGCCAAACTAGCTCAACCAGAGGTTGAGCACTGCCAAAGAGAGCAAGGAGATAGGAGAATACTGCCAAGGGGATACTATACTGCTAGAACATCATTTTCAGCTGTCACTAGATCAGTTGAGTTCATGAAAATTTACCTGTTTGTTTAACAAGAGATCACTGTACACATCTAACCTTAAAGACAAAGTTAAGGAGGACTGAAAGGACACTCAGTACAGTTGAGAGTAATTATATACTTACATAAGTAAAGCAACCACATCTCATTCCATCACAGTTTAATTTCTCCTTACTAAACTACAGGTTCATTTCTTTTTTCAGTGGATCCAAATCAGAAAGCAGCAGTTTTCTGGAAGCCTGCATTGCCTTATAACACAGAGAGCACTGCATAAGTTTCATTATAAAACCAGCAATACACTGGCCCACAACTTATGTGCTTTCTATGACATGGAAAACATGGAAACACGGCAACATATTTCATGGTAATATCGTAAAGTTTAGTGGTAACATGAAACAGTAAAAACTCAGCTTTCTTTTTAAAGACTTGAAGAACAAAGTTGGGAGAAACTACCTTTTTACTTCAAAAAGTCTCTAAAGACAGCTTAAAATGCTGTCCAAAACTCTCTCTTGCCTCTCTACCAAATTACTATCATTGTCTATTAGTACTCCATTCTCCACACCACTGGTCCGGACACTAGACATAACTTTTCAACCAAATTTCTTGGAAGAAGCATCAAGGTTAAAGAAACAACCCCGGAAACGTTTTTTTCTCTATATAAGTTAAATATCCTAAAAAGAACACATACATTAGCAGTCTACCTAAAAACAAACTAGATGTAGCAATGTATTTAGGCTTTAGGGGAAGCTAAAAGAAGAAAGCTTAGCATCATTGATTTCAAGAAATATCCTTTAAAGTGGTATTTTTGACTCAGTATTACATATTTATTCTTAAGTGTCATGCATGGCTTAAGTGTGACTCTTACTTTGTGTGTACTGATCTGCAATGGATTACCGATGCAAGAATTATCCCAGTATCTAACAGACACAGTTACTTAAAATAAAGTCCTGGTGGTTCTTTCACTCATTTTGGTAAAAATATAGTATTTTCTTAGCAAGAAAAGAAGCAGACCTTAAAAAAAGGTAAAAAAGACAAAATCACACATACCCGAAATATACACACAGCACAGCTTCACTGAATTCAACTCATACTCTAATATTCTAAGATGACTTAGCCAAAATGAAAATTATAGTCTTGAAGTAATTAGGGAAATTTTTAAAGGGATACTTAGATAATTATGACCTAACAGTTAAAACTGAAGTTATTAGCATCTGCATTATGCAGAGGATCACAAACAGGTTGGTCTTCAACAGATAAAGTCCCTCTCCCCCTCTTGCCCCCAAGAACAGGAAGGCATGCAGAGTTTGATAGTTTGCCCAGTTTAAGGCAGAATTACATACTGTCAGTTTAGGTAATGATGGCATTCTCCTTTTTATCATAGCCACAAGACACAACTTTTGATTCTGAAAAGCTCAAATAATCAGTTGAGAGACTGTCAGCCCGTTCTTATGTCAACTTTGTACACAGACAAAACAACGACTTCCAATTCAATAGTTTCAAAATAAATTCCAAAGCAGCAAGTATTAAAAGTTTAGACAGACCATCTTCCCCATCCTCATGCAAAGCATTTTCCTTAAGTGTGTTTCAGTCTATTTCAGCTCTTTCTCTAGGTTCACTTTACTGAAGTTAGTGTGTTATACATATAGAATATACAGTGTATTTTAAACTGTTAACACTATTAAAAGGTCATTGAAATTAATTCTAACAATGCACGTTTTATGCTACTCAGAGAAAAAAAAAAGCATCTAACACTGTAACAGGTATACATCAAAGCTCACAAGTTAACAATCTGACAAACTAAAATTTTCTCAGTTACTGTGTATCACACCAGCAGCTTTTAGCGTCCAAAACAAAAATTACTCAGCTCAAAGCGATTTTTATAATTTGAAAAAGTTATTCAGTTCACTATTTTCAGTGAAGTTGCAGGCTTTAGATTTATTTTTCAGAAGTGTGGCAAGAGATGACTAAGACAACTTGCAAGAATCACATGTACCATTACTAAACTACATAAAGGCCTGCCCTGTACTGTGAGAGAACTCTGCAGTTACTTTCTATGGAAAAAAAGAATATTAAGACATCAGAATCCAAACATGGCAATAATTTAGGATACAGATTTTCAGAGATATTGCCACCCTCAATACCTTGTAAATAGTAAAGACAGCAACTGCTTATAAATAGCAAGTACTGTTTGATACAAAATACTCATTGCATGCTTAAAGAAACTATTGTCCAAGTATTATTTAAAACATAACTAGATTGTCAAAATTCATTAAAGGGTAAAACTAAAATCCGTACACACACTTTTCCATATAATTATACAAGACATATCAGATCTGTTAAGTCACAGTCAACAGATAATCACATAGGCTTTATTCACCAGTTGGTGCTTGTATTTTTATACAGAGGAGTGATACAGGCACTAGCTTAGGACATAGCAGATTCAGGTATAATTCCTTGCTCATCTACAAGCTTCCTGCACAGCCTTGCATACATCACTAGATCTCTGTGCCTTCATCCCATGCTGAACAGTGGGCTAAGAGCAGGAAGATTTCAAGGTACTCACATTACAGCAGCTGAGTCCCAAGTATGTAAGATAATGAACACCCACTTTGTGAAACATAACACAGAAAGCTGACAATCATTGTATCTGTGTTTACGTGTGTTAGGAGTGACATGACGTTCCCTCAGCATGACATATTCTGAATCCTTCTCTAAATCCCATAAAATCAAGGGCTTTAAGAAACAAGTAGAAGGGGTTTGTTCATAAATATGGTGACCTGAGAGATCAAGTGCATGCACTGTTAGTCCTACATCAAATGGCAGTAAGGAGTCTCTCTCAAGTTCATCAATGGTCCTTCCCTGTAAAAGCAACTTTCTCTGTGTTAATTATCTGACATTTAAAGCTCAGCTCATTGCACTGCTCCCATTTAGAAACAACCCTAAGATCAGTCCACACTTCAAAGTCACAATAAAGGCCTAAAATTACAGTGAATACTGTAGCCATCCAGTCAAAGGTAGAAAGATTCTGGAAGCAGGAACAGACACCACCACAACCACGCCAGGCATTAGTGTCCAGCAAATTCAGATCAGAAGCAGCAGGTGAAGGAGGCCCAGGGTTGCCTTACCAATGCAAAGCCAACCCCCATTCCTGCACACTAAACAGGGCCCAAGCAACCGCATCCCTCCAAAGGCCCCCACCCCACACACCTACCGTTGGTGACACTGTATTTGAC